GAACGTTTAGTTTATTAAAATTCAAAATAAACTTATTTTTTGAATTCATGCTGCAATAAGGCCATATTTCGATTCCGAATGAATCATCATCAGTGCTCCTTGTTGTATATATAGGGAAATATTGACTTTGTCAAGATGAACTTTGACGTTGTAAAAATTAACTTTGGTGTTGTAAAATTGAACTTTGATGCGAATTAGTATCAATTACATTAAATACATCAGCTGTATACAGTATGAACAAAATAGGTTCAAGTATTGAACCTTGTGGCACTCCGGATGACTTTGTTTTTACACTAGACAGATGCCCTTTGAAAAATACCTCGTTCCAAAATATATATATATATATAAATATATATATATTTCACTATATATATATATATATATATATATATTTCCTTTACCAGTGAAATATATATATATATCAACCCGCTATATATATATATATAATATATATATCCATATATATATTTATATATGTTGGAAGAAGACCATATTTTATTCAGTATTGTATGAATTCTACCGAATTGTTGGCATTGATAAATTTAAAGTTTAATTTTAATTTCAATAAATTGAACAATTTCCAGAATATTCCAGTAAGAAAAATTGAAAAGACAAACTTTAAATTGATTGATGCTAACAAACAATTCGGTAGAATTTATACAATATATAATAGATAACAATTCTGAGTCCTGAACAATTTCTAAAAAATGGAAAACAGGATTAATGCTGCTGAGTTTATAAAAAAAATTGTGAAAATTAGTTGGACCTGTCATACCTCACGTCATCTTTGGAAATTAATTGAAAACTCGGGATATTTACCAAATGCCTAAAAAGCATTTGTAAATTCTGTTATTCAGCGGAACGCGTATTTTGCTCATCTTGAAAACTTGCTGTTAACAGATGAAGAAAAGCATATGAGAAAACAAGCAGCTAGAAAAAATTTAAAGGGTCGTAGTTTACTTGTTGCTGGAAAAGCACCACGTGTTTTTCAAATGCTTGAACTGAATTTTGATGCTAAATTTTACATTGATCTTATAAATTGGAGAACAGTTGAAAGATGTGTTAAAATAGTTACAAAAACTGCAATGTCAGCATGTGACAAAAATCAAGGTATGGTATCGTATCATACATACGAAACTTGCTTCCAAAAAAAATTATGCTGAAATTTGACAGCAAGCATAATTTCTTGTGTAAAAGAAACAATTTATTTTATAATTTATGTTTATTTGAATAAGGTTTTGGCTTTTAATGTTATATTTATATATAAGATTAAGACTGTCACTAAATATTTAATAATATAGATATATATATTAAGTACATAAGTTTTACTAACTGTAATTTCTCCAAATTTAATGATTATAGCTTTTTTTCTTAATTTTTGTTCAAGATCTTTCATGCGCCTTCTATCATCTCTGATTTTTTGACTAATAATGATAGCTTCAGACTTTGGCAAAACGTTTGTTTTTAATTTATTTACAAATGATATATCTGGAAGACTGAGGACATTACTTTTATACAAACTTCTCTTTATAGTATCAGAATCGTTTTCCCAGTTTAGAACTTTTTTCTCAGTTATTTTTTTATTGTCAACATTACCAACGGTGAAATATGCTACATTATTTTCAGTTTGTAAATTTTTTCTGTTTAAATAATAATGAGAAGGTAAAGTCATTCGTCGGCTGTTCGTTTGAGAATTTTCCAAAAATTGGACTAGTTCGTTATTTTGAATAGGTGTAACCATGTTAATTACTTTTAGCATAGCTTCATTCGGTTGTGAAAAACTGTGTCTATTATTTTGTTCATAAACTTTTAATCCTTGCAAACTTTTATAATGGTTTTCTTGTTGGCATGACTTGTTCAATGTTGGTATTGATCCAAAAGAATTAGTTCTCAAGTTATTTGATGTCGTTGTATGGGCAACGGGTTTTTTTTGCGTGTTACCTGGACAAACAACATTTTACAATTTGTTTCATTATTTAGCTTAATTTATTTAAATTTATTATAAAAATTACTTTGTTGTAAAAAGGCAGCTAATTGACACTGGGCAACTTTTGAATCCAATATTGCCTTGTCCACAACTTTGATTGCCTGTTCCATTTTACTTATTGCTGAGTTAGCTCTACATCAAAGTCAGTTTTTAAAATTAATGGAATTTAACGTTTTAATCAATATAATCAGAAAACAAAAAAAAGTTAAAATTTATTGGGTAAAAACAATTTTTAAAATAGGACCATTCGTAAACGCAAAAATTGTCATAGATCGTATATTTGTGAAGTTTTTAAATACAATAGCACAGTGTCTACAAATCGATGCCTGCTTACTGTTATCGGCGAGAACTGTTAGCTTTCACGTTCGAAAAATAAGTGCATTTGAATTTATAGAGATTGAAAACACAAATGCACAAATTGTTATATTATATATAATATGGTAGGCTTTGAAGAGGGAATGCAGGAATTCATTCACTGTGTTTAATATTTGAAATAAATTTTAAAATATATTCAAATTCTACATTAAGTTAACTTTATGTTTTTATTGGCTAAAGTGTATAAGAGTTAAAGCATAAAAAATAATTTTATCAATTTTAAATATATAAATGTAAATAAAAAAAAACAACAACTTAAACGTCAGAGTTTGACAATTAATAAATCAATCAATCAATCTTCGTTTTGCGTCCAGAAACCCGGTTCCCCGAGGTAGGACGTTGTTTTCTTAGCCATCAACTTTTTGCGCCAAATTAGACGATCAGTTGTATCCATTTCATTTAAATTTAGAGCTTTCATGTCTTGCTCGATTGTTTGCGACCAGGACTTCTTTGGACGGCCTTTGGGACGTGTGCCAGGTACTTCAACATCTGCAAGAGAAGTTATGGTACTGTTTCTACTTCGTTTGACATGACCAAACCACCGCAGACGGTGTTGCCGGCATTCGTCTTTTATATCATCTAAACCAGCACGACGCAGGATTTCGGTAGATTTGATGTGGTCCTTCAGACTAATTCGATGCATCCATCGGAGCATTTTCATGTCGGTTCGTTGAAGTTGTTGTTCCAGTTTGGTTGTCATTGGCCATGTTTCTGCACCATATAACAACACCGGACGTATCACAGATTTATAAAGTCTTGATCGTAATGGTAGCGGGATGTCACGCCGCATCAATATAGATGCAAGGAGACGCCATTTATTCCAGGCTGCACGTATGCGTGCTCGAACGGCAGCTTCAGCTGTTCTAGTACAATCCAGAACATCCCCTAGATATTGAAACGATGTGACTTTCTCTACCTTAATTGCTTCAAAAACATTGCTATTTCGAATTTGTCGTTGTGGATTGATGCAAGCAGGACAAACAAAATTGGACACTTTAGATAAAGTACCAATTATTTTTGAACAACGTTTGTGACACCACTGGTTACACTGCTGACACTTGATTGAATTGTTACCTACACCAGATTTACAAACTGAACAGGGCCATCGTCCAGTAGCTATGGATTGGATGGGTTCACCAGTGTTCATTACAGTGTTCAGTGTTCAAAGCAATGACAATTAATAAAATGCTTTCAAATTTTGATTTGATAATTTTTTTAACTCAAAAATTTCAAATATTTTTTTTCATATAAAATTTATGCATTTCAATATTGTTTGTCAAAAAAAGGAGAATAAAAACTGTAGACCTCTTTTAATAGTGAAAATATATTTATTTAAAAAAGGTACTCTTTTCGTGTGATCATCAATGTAAATTTATATCTTCCCGCGGCAACACTTGAACCACACTTTAGAAAATACAGCAAAAGTGTATAAAATGCGATGCAAACACAAAACGCGAAAATGGAGCGCGCTAACAAAAAATGTTTTTGTTTTAAATTTTTATGTGATGAATGAGCATAATAATTTTAAATAAAAGTAATAATTTTTCTGCAATACATATTTTTGCCTAGGACTATGCTCTCTTGTACTTCTGCTTCTTGTTATTTTATTATTAGCAACTTCATAGAAAAGTACAAAAACAAAAACGCCATGCCCGTTTTTGCAATTATCACTCCAAACATGAGAGCTAAATATACATATTCGAAAATTAGATATACGCAAAGCCTTTTTAAACCCGTGAACTCGTCAAATATTTTTTTAAAACATAATTTTGTTAATATTTTTTATTTTAATGGATTTCAATAATTGTTGTCAATTTTAATATTTGAAAAATCGATCAAAGCCTAAAAACTGCCTGCTAAAAATAACAAACATGAACGATAAGAATTTATTTTACTTAGAGTAAAAACAGCAATTGTAAAAATTTTATAAAATCAAGCATCCATATAAACTTTTTATGATTGCGCAATATATATATATATATATATATATATATATATATATATAGTTAGCTAATTAATTTTATAGAACATAAAATTAATCAATTTTTTATATTTTTTTCTTTATATAGACAAATTTGTAAAATTCTTTAACCATTTGTTAAAGTACTTTAAAAAACTGTAACGGGAAATTAAGTCATAGCCCACAACAAACTCATTTGAAAAATAGTAATTGCAGCATTATATTTGCACATTTTTTCCAGTGGCACAGATACATTGCAAATTATGTGTGTTGCAAAAGGTAGCTTTATGAAAATATATTTGATATCCATCGAAACATTGAAAAAACAAAAATAATTGTATGTATTATTTATTTATTTCTAGTATGATTTTTATTGGATATGTATTTAATTAATAAAATATTTAATAAGACATATAATTTGTTAAATAAATCAAACAACTACCTCGAAATAGCGATTTGTGCTTTTTGGGAAGCAATTTGAGCTGCTTTGTTTGCTGAGCTAGCAGCTGCATCAATGAGCTCTTTTGTTTTTCCTAATTTTAAGACATTTAAACGTTTCATGGCTTCTGTCAAAACATTGTTTTTGTACAATCCTTCTTCTTTACTTCCGTCTGAAAAAGTTGTTACGCCATGCCCGTTTTTGCAATTATCACTCCATTCCCCCTCGTACTTGGAAAAAATTATAGATGCTAGAATCATTTAAGAGACACATTTGTGCACGTGTAAACTTATAATGGATGGAATTACAAATGCATTCGAACCAGACCAGTGCGTAACTCAAAATAGCGGTTTATCATACTTAGTATAATAATTTTTTTGTAAATGTGACTCAATTGGACAGGTAAAAATAATCTACAATAGGTTTTTTAGCGCTAATACATTTTTAACTGAATTTGATAAATTTTATTGGTGAATAATGTCTAAAACTTGTGAAGACCTTAAGTCCATCTGAACGATGACACACTCCGAACCCATTTCTTTTGTCATTTTTCCATTCACCGGAATAAATTTCACACGCTTCTTCGGGTACAGAATTCAAACACAATAAATTTGATGAATTTGCGGTAAGACTCATCTTATTTATGTTCTTGCTTGTTGATTGTTCGTCACTCAAAACTGCTGAACCGGAATTATTTTGTTGTAAGTATTCAATATTACCTTTCAACGTTTTATCAACAAATTTTGTTTGATCTGATGTTTTTAATGCTTCCGGTTCTTGATCATTATATTTACCTTTTAAAAAAAATCCAATGCGATTAACGGGTAATAGTTTGGTGTGACTAATTTTTTCATAAATGTGAGGGGGTGGGACTGGTGGGAAAAAATCAATAATAGACTTAGGTTCAGAAGATTCATTTTCTTCTTTTATAACTATTTCCGGTTCACTTCTAGCAGAAGTCAAAGAAAATTTTCTAGACAAGGCGTATGATTGGGGGCTTGTTGCGGCAAGTTTGAATGTTGAACTCGTTCTTATGCCATATCCATGTCTCGCACCTTTTTGCCATTGCCCGACATATGTTCCTGTAAAGGAAAACTTCTATTTTGATTGATGTAAAAATATATGTGATAATTTCATTAAAAACGATTTATAATATTATTACAAAAAAACAGATTTTGACGTGGTTGTACTTAAATTATGACCAAATAAAATTTGAACCTTTGTCTGCATATGTTTCGACTCCGTACCCACATTGCACACCTGATGACCATGTTCCTTCGTACCTTGCATCAGTGAATTGATGTTTTTTGACACCATACTTTCCAAACAAACCATTTGTCAATTCGCCTTGATAAATCCAATGATTACGTTTCTCCATACCCAAACCATGTCGTTTGCCTTGCAACCACTGACCGTGATAAGCATTGCCGTTGGGCCAGGAATAGGATCCATTAACTTCAAATCCCCCTGACCAAGCTCCTGAATACTGACCTTCTCCACCTGGTCCTGTACATATTCCATATCCATGTGCTTTACCTCCATTTGTTCCTCCGTAATATACGCCCCCATCTTCAAATTTTAGTTCTTCAAAATTTTGACTCAACGCTGTTCCATTGAATGGTTGTTCCATTTATATTATATACAATTAGTTTTTTCTAAAATTAATTTCAGAAATTAATTTCAGAAAAAAATTCAAATCAGTTCATATTAGCGCTTAATAATTGTAACGAAATTGTCAAGGAGAATTAAAAAATTTCCATTTTAAACTAAATAATTTCTAAAAAAATGTTATATATTGATTAATATAATCGTAAAAAAATATATATTAGCATTAGTTTTTACTAAAACATACTTTCACTAGCTTAAAAACTAGTTGAAATTTATAAAAATATGACTTAGTTAAACAATTTTCTAATTATTTATTAATAATTTATAAATTAAAAATAAATTGAGTGACGTGTGTTCAACAAAGTTTTTGTTTGTTGTTCATGCAACATCGAAAATATCAAAAGGTCTGCAGTGTTTATATGTTAAAGGTGTTGAGGAAATAGATGCATTTTCAGGCAATGTGCACACACACACACACACACACACACACACACATATATATATATATATATATATATTCCGATGGTATATATATATATATATATATATTCCGATGGTATATGTGTAGTTTCCTGACGTATATAGCTTTCCTGACGTTCCTGACTATATATATTCCGAATGTGTATATATATATATGTATATATTCTATACATATATATGAGCTGCCATATGTAAAAATAATTCTAACCTACAAAAGCCCGAAATTACAACCAATAAGACGCAGCCTGGTTGGCATACAACTAACCACCTAAAAAAATCAGCTAATCAGGACAAAATTTACTGACCTACAAAAATATAATGAACGTAGGTCAAAACAAAAAAATTTATTTCAAGTCAAAAACTAAAAATTGAAATAAAACAACAATATTCTACTCTCCTAAGTTTTGAGAGCAGCCCCAGAAAATAATTTTCAAAAAACGCTGAATTGATCCAAAAAACCACCAAAAATACTGAGCGAAATAAATGTGGCAGATTGACATGCATAGTACATATTAAACATAGTCTACAACATGTTGAATAAACAAGATTATTCCACACGTTGTTCAAAATTGATGAATAGTAGAATCCAGAACGTAAAACAACAAACAACCACATTTATTTTCTGGTCTTTAGGTGGCGGAGCTGTTTCAAACCAGCGGAAAAATGGGTAAAGGCAAACCACTGGCGCCTTAATCAGTTTTTCCGAGTAGGTAAAACACGATAACCTCTGCCGGCTATTTACTAATTTACTAATTTTCAAACTCTTGCTGCCATTACGTTATTTATTTGACTGAAGTTGCCGCTGAGGTGAGTAGAGTAGCCACAGAAATGCTGTGACAAAATGGTTCTAGTTTTGCGTGGTAGCAATGCTTCGGTTTTGTTGATAGAAGGTGGGCGGTTGTTGAATATAGGGCTGGATTTCAATGAGTTGGTGGCATTGAAAACTTTGAAAGTGTGAATATGACGGAATAGGTCTCTATTCGTGTGACTCTGAGAAAGGAATGATATAAAATTGTTAAGGAAGGTTGAACTGAAGACGTTGGATGTTAGGAGGTGGTTGTAATGTATTGACAAGATGATGACTTTGGAAGTGTGAAAATCAATCAATCAATCAATCAATTAGCTTGTACAGAGCTATTTCCGCGATGTTCAACAGCGCTCTTCAATGAATTTTGAAAACAGATGGATCTTGAGATCCGCTCTAAAATTCGTAAGTGATGGAGAAGTAGTCAGAGAAGTAGGTAGAGAGTTCCAGAGAAAAGGGCTAAAATAAGCAAAAGCAGATTTGGCAAAAGAGTGTTTAATACGTGTTAAGAAGAAGCGAGAACAAGAAGACTATCGTAAACCGATCAATCAATCAATCAGTCAGTCAATAAATCAATCAGTCAGTCAATCAGTTAGTCAGTTATTCAGTCAGTCAGTCAATCAATCAATCAATTTATAAAGCGCTGTTTTCGTGATGTTCAACATCACTCCTTGATAAATTTTGCAGACAGATTTGGTAAGTAATGGAGTAGTCAGAGAAAAAGGAAGAAAGTTCCAGAGAAAAGGGCCAGAAAAATGTAAATGCTGATTTAGCAATAGAGTGTTTAACACGAGTTAAGAAAAAGTGAGAACAAGAAGACGATCGTAAACCGGGGCGTTTAGGTGCAATTAATATATATGATAAGTACTTAGGAAATAACTTAGATTGAGACTTATACATAAACGTGCAAATTTTAAAAATTATTCTATATTTTATAAGTGGCCAGTGCAAGAGAACAAGATATGGAGATATATGAGAAAAGAAAGGGGCTAGATTGATGTGATTCTGTGATTCTGAGAAAGAAATGATATAAAATTGTTAATTAAGTTTGAACTGAAGATGTTGGATGTTTAGAGGTGCATGTAATGTATTGACAAGATGATGATATGGATGATAGTTATTGAGACAGTGGACGAGGCATTGGTGTTGTAGGACAGGTAGGACATTGGTTTCTTGGTCAAGATGTGTCATAAGAATGCAGCTGGTTATAGTGCGTAAGGCAAAGTTTTTGGCATTTAAAGTTTTTGGAGGTTGGTTTGGGAGATATTGGGTAACCAGTTAGATGTAGCGTAATTGATGACGGGTCGAAAAATAGCCTTATATGTAATGGTAAGATTTTGTTTGTACTCAATTAGTGCTTACCAGAGATTTGAGAACTTTCTTCTTTTGTTGGCTTTTTAGTTATTGTTTGTGTATGTACCTGTTGTCAGCGATCAGTGCAGCAAAGAGAGTGGGGTATGTATATCTCACAAGTATGTTTCACTATAGTCCAAGCAATGACAAAGTATTCATCGGTTGTCGTGTTGTTTGTTGTCAAGCGCAAAGAGTTTTTAAGTCTTTTAACGACTTGGGAGTGACGACAAACAAACACGTGTAAATGGTATTGAAATTGTTTAGCCATTCAGGACCAGGATAGTGTTTGTATCATGTTTAGACGACATAGTAAACTTTAAACTTATAGCAGTGCTTTCTCCAAATAGAAAAAAGATTATAACAAAGCTGGCTCCAACCCATCTTGTCAGTACGTCGTGAGTGACTTATCCTATTTGCTGTCAAAATAGCTCTCCTATAACAAAACAAAAAAAGAAGTGAGTTGAAAATTGCGGCATGGAACGTTCGCACAATACTAGACTAAAATAATAATGATCTTTGCTACCTTCTCGTACGTCGTGTTGATTTTTAATTCCGAATATTATAAAAGTTAAAATTCGTCTTTTTTCGTCAAAATTTTCAAAACGATAGTGACGAAAGTTTTGGAAAAATCTAATGATAATTTCCTAAACTAAAGTGTCTTGAAAAAGTCATTGACAAATCCAATGAAAACATGGTAAAAGTTATTACGCTCTCAAACAACAACCTAGACAAGTTGCTGGATGAGTCCGACGCGAACCTATCAAAAATTATTGAACAATCAAATGATAACCTACGTAAATCACTCGCTCATTCTGAAAAAATAATGAGCCAGCTCTTCGAAACAACTTTTTTAAGAATTGAGTCATTAAGTAACAGTTTCGAGCGTGCGGTTAAGAGCATGTCCAATGCTTTAACTGACTCCATGACTCAGCTTCATGCTACTTTGTCCACATTGGGCAATAGCGTTTCCGCACGCCAACAACAAGTAACAAAGCTTAATGAAACTCCAATGTTTGAAACCATGACTAGGGCTCTTTGGAATGTGGAACAAGAGCGAAAAGATGATGAGCAACGGTCAAACAATATTATCATTTCCGAGCTTGAACTTGAACAGGGAGGTAATGACAAAGATATGGTTTCTTCAATTTGTGAAAACCACCTTCCTATCAAACCTCAGATTGTAAGAACTCGTCTTATTGGAAAGTCAAAATTGTGTGTGACTTTAAGCAACTTATCAGCAACCGAAGACCTGATTGCATCATCAAAGATTCTCCGCTCATCACCAGCGACAAAAAATATCTACTGTAATCCAGATCTCTCCAAGAGGCAGGCAGAGAAAGCATTTCTAAAAAGACAGAAGAGACGTCCCAATAAAGCAAACAACAAGCAACCTGCTGATGATCAGTCCTTTCATTCAATCAATTAGAAATGGGCACCTTTGTTTGGCCTTGGCTAACGTTCGTAGCCTACAAAAGAAAACAAACGACCTCAGTTTATTTTTGTCAACTTATGACTCAGATATATTTTCTGTTATAGAAACGTGACTCGCTCCAAATAATCGAATTATTTCCTATTACCGTAGTGGTGGTTTTGACGTTTCAGCTAAGCAGTATGCATTTGACAGTGTGGGATGTATAAAAGAACTCTGCAAAGGTGGTGTTGTCTGCTTAATGGGAGATATCAACCTTCCTCACATCAACTGGGTTAATTACTCCGCACCTAATAATACTATTTACAATACATTCATTGAGCTCTTCAACGAACTAGGTCTACATCAACTTGTCGACAGACCGACTCGAGAAAGTAATATTTTAGACTTAATTTTATCAGATGATCCAGGCTTACTTTTAGATTTGAATGTGTCCTGTCCGTTTGGGTCTAGCGATCATAATTGCATCTTATTTGAAGTTAGCTATACTGCCTGCGGCACAGTGGATACAAGTCAAAATAATTGCATATCTTTCTACAATTTTAACAAAACAGATTTCATAGGAATGAACGATTTTTTCATGAGCATAAACTGGGACCACCTGTTCCAGTACCTCTTTGATGTTAATACCTGTTGGGAGCTCTTTGAGGAGATAATCAATGTTGCAATATCAACTTACGTTCCTTACACCTACAAAAAAAGTTCTCGTAAGCAGGAAGTTCCTAATCCGTTACGTCTCTCATACAGAGTAAAGCTTCATTTTTGGAGAAAGTGGAAATTCTCTTCTAGCTTCAAAAATAAAGAACTTTATATCACAATGTCGAGGAAATGTTCCAGTTTAGCCAATTACTACTGGATGGCCAGTGAACAAAATCTATTGTCCAAATCAAATATCAGAGGTTTTTATCGATACGTTAACAAAAAACTATTTTCTCGACCCTCTGTCAACAGATTAAGACTAAACGATAACAGCACAACCTATGATCCGATGGTAATGGCCGAGACATTCAACAAATACTTTGCTTCTGTGTTCACAATTGATAACAACAACGACTGGTTCCCTTCCTTCTCGTACTACTAGGCTGTTGGATGATATTAGTTTCACCCCTCAGGTGGTATTTACAACTCTGCGTAGTTTGAAGAGTACGTCTTTGATGGGACCAGATAGTATACCCAATATATTGCTCAAGAGCTGTGCTTCAAGTTTGGCAATTCCACTGTGTCACATTTTTTATGTTTCCTTTAAAAACAATGTACTTCCTACCAGATGGAAAACAGCAATTGTTACTCCGATCCATAAGAAGGGTCCATCCATTGCCCGGGTAACTACAGGTCAATTTCACTTACCAGCTCGTGTTGCTGAGTAATGGAAAAAATCATCAACAAACCGATGTTATTATATTTGTCTGTCAACAAATTAATTTCCAGCTTCCAACATGGCTTTTTGCCTGCTCGATCCACATGTACTAACTTGCTACAATTTCTTAGCAATTGGATGTCTATTCGTCAACAAAAGAAATGTTGTGATGTGATTTACCTAGATTTCCAGAAAGCTTTCGATTCTGTGTCGCACACCAAACTAGTCGATAAACTAAAGGCTTATGGAGTTACCGGTAATCTCCTTTCCTGGCTGACTGATTTTCTATCCGAACGTTTTCAGCTCGTTCGAATTCGAGATAAATTGTCAACCCCAGTATCAGTTACTAGTGGTGTGCCTCAGAGTAGCATCCTGGGACCCACCCTAATCTTGATTTTCATAAATGATATAGCTGAGTGTACCCATCCAATTCTGTTAGAATTTTACTTTTCGCGGATGACATTAAGTTGTATTGCTGCTCATCCAACTCAGTTCTACTTCAACAAGTGATCAATGACATAGTTACTTGGAGTACAAAATGGCAGCTACCGCTATCTCCTGATAAATGTTCTCATTACACTTTTCTTTCTTCAACCAGATCTAATACAGTTCCTCATCAATTTTCGAATGGTCATCACTATTTATCACACATGGACCACTTAAAGGACCTAGGTGTAATTGTCGACAATAAACTCAATTTTAATCTTCATGTCAATGATATTGCTCACAAGGCTTCCTCTCGTGCACGGTTAATCACCAGATGTTTTATCTCCAAGGACAAGGGCCTACTTATTAAAGCTTTCTACACTTACGTACGTCCTTTGGTTGAATATGCCTCATCTGTGTGGAATCCACATTACAAATACCAAATAACAAAACTGAAAGTGTACAGAGAAGATTTACGAAATCTATTCCGTCTCTATATCATCTCTCATACCTGTCTCGATTGCATGCGGTTGGAATGGATATTCTGGAGCGTCGTAGGCTGATTTCTGATCTATGCCTTCTCTACAAAATACTTCATAACCTCGTTCAAACTGACCTAAATAGACATTTCATTCCATCACTGTACTTATCAACTCGAGGACATCAAAGCAAATTGCGTGATTTCAACATTAGTGACAACTCAACCAAATATTTCTACTGCAACCGAATCATTCGAATATGGAATACGTTGCCGGCAGATGTCGTTTCTTCAACCTCATATGCTTTCTTCAAAAATCGGTTGCGTTCTCTCGATTTAAATAAATTTCTAACCATTAAATAACTATCAATATTATGTTTTCCTTTTGTCCCAGATAATATTCATTTTTTTTATTGTACTATTTCACGAGGATGTGTTATCAATGTAAACTATGATTTTTCTAATTTACTTTTTTTCTGTTTCGATGGACATTTCATAGAACTTGGTTATTTTTATTATTTCTGTCTAGATAAGTGGTTATTATGGCCTTCTGGGCAGTTTTGTCAATAAATAAACAATGAATAAATGTATATGCTGGTGAAAGACTATAATTAATATATATATATTTTTTTTCAAATATCGTTAAATAAATATTTTTGCCCATTTTGCATTAATTAATTTTTTAATAAGGATTTCGACAACACGAAGCTGTTTTAATTCATATTTATTATCATTATGTGTCATCCTAGGCTTACAACGTTGTTTCGACATAGTCATATATATTTTTATTACTTATCTTTCTATAATACTTATTTTAATAACGTCATTTTATTTTGTTTCAAATTTAATTTTTTATCTTTATCTAAATTGTTTATTAATTATAATAATAAATTTTAATTTTTACATTCTCCCTTTTTTATACCGTCTTACTGACTTTCACTTTTAATATCATCCCGCCACGAAACATTTGTTTTTCCCGTCTAACTAAATTGGTTTATCATACGTTTCTACACAATTTTATTTACTTATTTTCATAATTTTGTTTTAATTTCATTCGTTTAAAACCGTTAATTGTTTTATTGCAATATTTTATTACAAGGTAACATTTTTCATATTTTACATTTTTATATTTCTAATTTTCTAATTACAACGTCATAATTTCATCTCTTGTACTTTTCATCAAATTTCTTGATTTTAATGTTTAAATTATAATTCAATTTTTGATATTTCGTAAAACCAGGCTCTGATGATGACTGTATGTCGAAACAACGTTGTAAGCCTAGGATGACACATAATGATAATAAATATGAATTAAAACAGCTTCGTGTTGTCGAAATCCTTATTTTTTGTTTCGACGTACATTTTATAGAACTTGGTTATTTTTATTATTTTTGTCTAGATAAGTGGTTATTATGGCCCTCTGGGCAGTTTTGTCAATAAATAAATAAATAGACTACAAAAAGCGTCATGAGCGTCAGTTGGCCCTTATAGCACGTAAATTTGCCACGTTGAGTGAGTCTAGAATCTCTGCATCTGTGCAGTTTTTGTCAAAGTCATCCGGTCGGTAAGACAGGAACGCAAAGAGTTGGTTTTGCTATCCGTAACTCGCCTCTTGTCTGTGAATATATTTACTTGCTTGATAAAGATGCAACTAAACCTAGCCAATAGTAATGTAGCTACGCTAATCAGTTGTTACGCGCCCACGTGTAGATCATCGCTTGACAAAAAATTCTGTTGTGGCTCTGTTAATTTGCTATTTATCTTGGGTGACTTCAATGCGCAGACTGGAATCGGAATAATGTACTCGGGCATCACGAAATTGGCGAACTTTGCATCTTGAGTTCTGTTTGAAAACAATCTCGTTGTGACCAACACGGTTTACCTGCAGTCTAATTAAATGAAAACTAATTAGAAGCATCTACGTTTGTGTCATTGGCATTTGATTGGTTATGTCCTCACAAGGCAGCGTGACCTTCACAACGTACGTCTCATCAAAGCCATTCTCATTACAACCTCTGGTCATATCATTACTCATCAAAACCATCGTTTTCGTAACATTGGACGATCAAGACAAGGAAGCCCGTCGATTGTTAAATTTAATGTGGTGTGCATCTTGCTCGGGTTGATGGCAGAATAAACTGTGCAAAGAAAACATCGTTTTTAAACTTACGATGCTTTGAAAACGTTTTGCCAAATAAAAGAAAGAGTTCACAAAATTCAAACCGCTGGAGATCTAAACAATTCAAGATCTTTTCATCGAAAATTGAGATGTTTGTGGTCTAGCAAATTTAGGTAGCATTCCGGTGTGTTTGTTGGGTGGTTTGGTGCTCATCAGAAATGGCTGGGCTGAACATTTTTACGGACCACCCAATGAGTAATATTCATTTGACTATTCGGTTCTGTCAGAGATACCAAACTGAGGCTTTGAAAATATTTTTTGCAAATCACTCAGCCTAAAAGAAATAAAAAATACACCAGATGACATCAAGCATAACACAAGACGTTGAAAGGCTGCCAGCTGAGATTTTCACATTTGGCCCGTCTGATAGCAAAAGACATTTAAATAAAACTGTCGCCAGGTTGAATCTTAGATGTTATTTCCGTAACAATATCAGCATTAACGAAGACATCATTGCTAGGCTCGTGAAACGAACGAGCATGGTGTCACTATGAGTACCAAAATTGTTGTATACAAAACAAACGGTTGTGCTATAAACAATGTTGTATGAATGCAAATGAGAACGTAGGATGCCAATTACTGATGTGTTAAGAATGTTATTATCGAGTTCAGTCATTTGTATGCCGACCTCGTACATGCCAACTTATCATCCTGAGATTGTTTAACAAAAAATTCTAGCAGGTATTTGTCCATGAATTTACTATTACTGTTCAAAATTTTATGAATGAAGCTACACGATTTAAAATATTTTAATTCGTATATAGGTAACGATTTTTAGTTTACTAAAAATGTCAATATTTATTTTTTTTATAAGAAATAATTTTAAGCACTCTTTTTTGCAATACATATATTTTTTGCAAGTAAGTTTTATAAGTATATAAGTTTTATAAGTATATAAGTTTTATAAGTATATAAGTTTTATAAGTAAGTTTTCCCAAACAAGATTTTCATAGAATAAATGCAAAAAGATAACAGCATAATAAATGACAATAAAACGTTATATATAAATTGATTTTTGACCCTGTTAATTATACCTATGTTTCTATTTATTTTTATTAAAACTAAATCAATATGTTTTTTTAAAAGTCATTTTAGAGTCATTTACAATTCCGAGCAGTTTAAATTCACAATAAACAAGTCAAGAACGTTGCTAAGTTTATTTCTAATCTTTTAATGTTTTTCAATATTATATCAATTAATTAAACGATCTACGTGACAAGAAATTTAACAGGTTATGGGCCCAGATAACGTTCTTCTTAATTAATTGATTTGACGAAGAAAATTTAGAATAAAGAAATATCGGAAGATTCCTTTGTGAAAACTGAAGTGAAGAGAAAACACTTGCTTCTTCATTCTCTGAAAGTCGATATTTTGCTTTTAATTAAAAAGTCAAATTGAAAAACAAGAAAGAAATGGATCTAACAAAAGTGCAAATCAAACAACTAAAAGACAAAAGTAATTGGTTGAACTGGAAATCGAAAACTTGTATAATACTACGCGGCATTCCTGATGCAATGGACGTAATAAATGGCAAATTAAAAAATCCAGATGAATTAAACGATGACTCAAATAAAGATGAAATAGCAAAATATCAAACTGCTTTGAACAGATTCTATAAAGCAGATTGTAGTGCTATGATTATTCTGTCAACCAACTTGACCGATGAAACGTATGAAAAAGTTCGTTCATTCAGTAATGCCGGAGATGTTTGGTTAGAACTTCATAGATAAAGCATACAACTTATGCATGAAGTTCTTTAGTTATAAAATGGATGAAAGTGATGATGTTGTCACCCATGTTACAAAACTCAAGAATCTTTGGAAAGACTTAAAGGTTGAGTTAGGAAAAGATGAAAACAGTGACTTGTTGCTGATGTGTCAAATAATTGAAACTTTGCCAGAAAAATATTTTTCATTTGCTGCAAGTTGAAGATTGTTGAACAAAACTGACTGTTGGTTAGAACTTCATAGATAAAGCATACAACTTATGCATGAAGTTCTTTAGTTATAAAATGGATGAAAGTGATGATGTTGTCACTCATGTTACAAAACTCAAAAATCTTTGGAAAGATTTAAAGGTTGCGTTAGGAAAAGATGAAAACAGTAACTTGTTGCTAATGTGTCAAATAATTGAAACTTTGCCAGAAAAATATTTTTCATTTGCTGCAAGTTGAAGATTGTCGAACAAGACTGAAAGAACAGTTGAAACACTCACAGATCAACTGTGTAGCTATGAGAGATCCTTGGAAGGCAAAACTGAATGTAATAAAGTATTATTTGTCAAAGCAACAACTGAAAAGTCATCATCACTAAACATGAAAGGTCAAAAACAAGATAAATTTGTCAGCAAACCAAAGCGACTGATATGTCATTATTGCAAATTGCCAGGTCACATTGTAAGAAATTGTAAAAATTTTGATGATAGACCAGCAAAACCAAAAAATAACAATCTACGCGATGACAATAAGTCACTAGTTGTTATGGAATCAAGTTTTTTTGCAATTGATGAGCCAGCGTACACTGGTGAATGGTTTTTTGACAATGGTGCAACGTGTCATCTAACTTTTCGAAGAGACATATTTCAAAGTTTTGAAAAATTTTCTCAACCAATTAAATTATATGTTGCAAATGGTGATGCTGTAGAAGCTTTTGAAAAAGAAGTTATTCATCTTCAAGTGAAAGTAAATAATAAATGGCAAACTGTTAAACTCACAGATGTCTGGTATGTGTTAAAAGTAAAAAAAAATTTATTCTCAGTACTAGCAACTCAAGATAAGAAGAGAAATAGCTCTTTTGTTTCAACCTCAAGAAGTTGTCATCTACTTATTAACAATGCGGTAAGTGTTGTTGGAATAAGAAACAACAATGGAGGTTTGTTCAAACTTGTTGCAAAAACTGTTAGACCGT